AGAGAGAGAGAGAGAGAGAGAGAGAGAGAGAGAGAGAAATGGAGAAGAGAAAGAAAATGAGTGGTAAAAAATAGAAAGAAGAGGAAAGAAAGGAAGAAGAGAGCATATTCAATTCTTTTCGTATCGTCTTGTTTCACAATTTCTAGATATTTCAATCTTAGCTTTGTACTCGTTATTATTTATATATTACTGACAAGATAATATATTATAGAATTATATCATAAAATAGATATATCATAGAATTTCTTTGAATAAATTATGTAGACTCAAGACTAATATTTCTTATGTATTTTCTTGTTGATATTTTCTATAAAGAAAAGATAAAAGATAGAAATGTATATTTCAAAGATCTATAAAGACTTAAAAGCAAAAAATCTATTAACTCTTGGATAAGGAAATGAGAAAATTATATGGAAATAGGATACTGAGATAATAATAGAAAAAGTTAGCGAGAGAGAGGAGAGAGAGAGAGAGAGAGAGAGAGAGAGAGAGAGAGAGAGAGAATGCAGATATTAGAATAAAAAATCGACAATGTGAAAGTGAAGTCGAGAATAAAGGTAAAAATGAGAGAGATCAGGAAGACCAACAGGAACAAAAAGGGATTAAATGGCGGAGACATGCATATCGCAGCCTCTTTCGAAAGTGATGGGTACTTTCGAAAGAATAGCGCGCTATTTGTACCAGTGGTGCTCACACTTGCTCCTTGATAGGCTATCTGTCTGTTTAAAATACGAGTGTGACTCGTTTCTCTTTCTTTTCAAAACGTGTCTCTTGGATGCTTTCGTGCATTAAGTCCGAAACATTAATTGACACTACAGTTAACGAAAACAATTCTTGTCAAACGTGTATATCGTTGTAAAACATCTTAAAAATCGATTAATCGATTGATTGTCGATAAAGATGCTGCGCGATTCGTGCGTGGCATCTTTGCGATTTCGCAGTGTATCGAGATGTATTTGCCGCCTAAAAATACGGCAAAAATAATACACTCTCTGGAAAAGAAAAAATACGAATCGAAAGGAAACTATATATAAATATATAGAAGTCTCGAGAGATGCAGAGATTAGAAGAAATCATACTGTGTTTTGTGCAAGGTCACGCCAACAAGTTCACATGTGCAGGATGTAAACGCGACAAAAGAATGAGTGGTCTGTCAGAAAGTATCGGATACCGCATAGAAAGTTCGTTACACAAAAGTTCGACAAGAAGCGTACGTATATTGTGGCACAACCGGCTACTCATCCGCGCAGTCGTTATGGTAAAACGATCAATCTTACACGCAGAAAATTTTTGTTAAATAATATAATATATTAATTGCACAAATTACAGGACTTGTATGGCGCAACTGGAATATACTCATATTGAAGTCAATATTTATACATGAAAGCAATTATATAACGCTACTTTGGTCAAATATATTTTGTAGCTTGATGGTATACAAATTTACCATACGTACTATATACATACATCAGAAAAGTAAAAAATATCCCATGCTGATACATGTATTTTGGACGCTGCAGCTTGAATTACTTGTTATTTCTAATGCCAGTTAAGAAATGGTTATTTTAAGCAAAAAATATTTTTTTAATATTTTGAAAAAAGTTTATTATCTTGTACTCAAAAGAAGAATTTCATAAATGTTATAAAACTTTATCGAAAAAAAAAAAATTGGTTCGACTCTATGTAGTAAAAGCAAGCTGAAATTTTACTTTAATGTAATATTCTTCACTAAAATACTAAACTTTAGTAGAATTTAGACTATGTATTGAAGATATATTGAAGATATTTTATGCGTATGATGAACAGATGATAAATTTGTGGATGAAGAAACTTATGAAATATTTGAAACAAGTAAGAAAGAAAGAGGAGAACAGAGAGAGAGAGGGGGAAAGAGAAAGAGAGAGAAAGAGAAGGAGGGGGAGAGAAGTAGAGGGGAAATATAGAAAGAGAGGGAGAGAGAGATGGAGGAGAGGAAGGAAGAGGGGGGGGAGAAAGAGAGACCGGGACATCGACCTCTATGTGGAGGTCGATAAGTTGGTGGGTATCGTGACGTCGGCCTGCGACGCCGCGATGCCACGGTCCCGGTCTTATCCCCTTCCCCGCAGATATGCCTGCTGGTGGACCAACGAAGTCGCCGAAACTCGGCGACGGGCAGTTGCCAGCAGGCGGGCCCTTTTCAGGGGGAGGGGGGAAAGTCGCGAGGAAGCTTAAGGAGTACCTCGTCGCCGGTTCCTCGAGGCCGCCATCGTGGGGGCTAAGTCCAGAGCTTGGGCGGAATTTATCGCCACTCTGGACCAGGACCCGTGGGAGCGTCCCTATAAAATGATCGTAAACAAACTACGACCATGGGCGCCTCCTGTTCATGGAACCTCAGGCTCTTAAGGGGGTGGTCAGCACCCTGTTCCCTCAGGAGGACGGATCACCTCTTCTTGTCGACGTCCCAGAAGGCGACGTCGACTGGACGGATGAGCTCGAGGTCTGGAGTTCGCGATGGCCGGGAAGTGGCTCGGGGCAACAATGAAAGCCCCGGACTTTGATGGCATTCCCAGCTGCGCCTAGGCCCTGGCCCTGGCCCTCGCAAGGTCTGAGAAACTGTCTGCGCCACTGAGACATCTCTTCTCGAGATGCCTGGAGCGGGGGATATTCCCCGAAGCCTGGAAGAAGGCGAAGCTAGTCCTCATCTACAAGGCGGGCGGAGTAGCGGGCAGTCCTTCGGCCTATAGGCCAGTATGCCTGCTGGACGAGGCGGGGAAGATGTTAGAAGGCATCATAGCCAACCGCCTTGTTCAGCATTTGTTTCTGAAAAGTTCCGACCTCCACGACGCCCAGTACGGTTTTCGTACAGAGCGCTCCACCACGGACGCGATCATGCGCGTCCGTGGTATCGTCAAGGGCGTCGTAGAGGACCGGGGCGGGGTGTTGCTGGTGGTGTCACTTGACATCGTCAATGCATTTAACACCCTGCCCTGGGAAGCGGTGGGGGGGGGAGGGGCTCTGGAATACCACGGGGTCCCCTCTACCTGTGCAAGATAATTCGGAACTACTTGGGGGACCGGGACTTTACCTACAAAACCAAAAATGGGGTCCTCGGCTGGAGGACTGCCCATGTCGGTGTCGCACAGGGGTCCGTGTTAGGATCGCTCCTGTGAGACATCGTCTATGATGTCATGCTCCGCACGTTGCTCCCCCCCCCGGCGCACAAGTCGTCTGCTACGCAGATGACATGTTAGTGCTTGCCGGGGGAGGACGACTGGGGAGAGGCCTTGTCCTCAGTGAGATCGCAGTGGTGTGCGTCGTCCATTGGGTGACTGGGACTTAGGGTAGCGCCCCACAAAACGGAGGCGATCTTTTCGAGGGAAAAGTGGGGCGCCCCCTCACCGGCCAACATCCCGGTGGACAGGACCCCTGTTCCTGTGGGGGCTCATATGAAATACCTGGGCCTCCTGCTGGATAGCAGACGGAGCTTCGCTGCTCACGTAGAAAAGGTGGCCTCCAAGGTGTCCCGCGTGAGCAATGCCCACGTGGGACTCATGAAGAACCTCAGAGGCCGGCGATGGAAAGTTCGCCGTCTCTACACCAACGTGGTCGCATTGGTGGCTCTATATGCGGCGTGGGTCTTCACCGGCGCCATGCGGGAATTCGACCGCAGCAAACGACTGCAGCCATGCGGTCGGTAGTCCTGTGGACCACCAAATGCTATCGCACGGTATCGTATGAGGCGGCGGCCGGTCCTGGCTGGATTCCCCCTTCTGGAGTTTCTCGCAAAACAGTACGAGTTTACGTACGCGTACCTGGCGAGGTTCCAGAGAGAGGGGAGGAAGATAACGACCAGGATCAAAGTGGCGGTGAGCCTCAGGGCGAAATCCCGGACTATAGTTCGTTGGGCCGAGTACCTATCGGCTCGCACTGTGGAGGCCATCCGGCCCTACTTATCCGAATGGGCAAGCAGGCGAGGAAGATGGTTAACCTTCCGATTGGTGCAAGTACTCACCGGGCACGGTTGCTTCGGGAAGTACCTGTGCCGAATCTGACAGGAGGTCACGGCGCAGCACACGCTGGAAGAATGTCCGGTGTGGGCAGAACAGCGCCGTGCTGCTCTCCTGGCTCGGAAGAGACCTCTCTCTCCCTACTGTCATCCAGAAGATGGTGGGAGGAGAAGAGAAGTTTGGGGCTGTGGCCTCCTTTTGCAAGGATGTTCTCCAGAAGGAGACCGCGGAGCGGATCTGTCAGGGGCAGACTGCCCACCGCTCTCGGAGGCGGAGGCAGAGGCCGGCGAGACGGCGCCCACCCAGAGCCCCTCTAAGAAAGGGAGGGGGGTCGCGGGCGATGACGGGGTGGGAATAACGCTCCCTAGGGTTGATCGGGGCACTCCCCTCCGTCGGCCCCTTGAAGGGGATAACGGGAGGTCAACTCGAGGTGGCGACACTACCTGGGGAGCCTGGACCCCCCTGCCCTTTTCAGGGCGGGGGACCCGAATCGGGGGGAGGGTTAACCCACGCGGGAGGGTACCTATCTGCCCTTATAAGAGCGGAGGACCCAACAGAGGAAAACCGACTGGGGAGGGGGGTGAATCTGTTCTGGGGAACGGACTACATCAACTCCCTAGATCTTGGGGCAAGAGGGAGCGGGGCGGATGCCACCCGCTCCCCGATTCAACAAGGTGACGGAGTAAAACCCGGGCTGTAAGACATAATGCTGCCCGGGAAGCCGGGACCCCCCGCGATCAAATACGAGGTATCCGGCACGGAGGAGGGGCCGACTAGGCCCCCCTGGGACGAGAAGTCGGGAAAGTAATGCCAATATCAGTCCTCTCGACTGCCCAATATGTCCCAAAAAAGGTACCCGGTAGGGGTTTTAGTGGATAGGCTTCCTTCCTGTGTGGATGAAAAGGGGAGAGTCCCACAACCCGCGGACCCTCCCCCCCTTCCCAGGGGATCACGGATATGTGTAAAGCATTTCCTCTGCATTACAAAAAAAGAGGGAGAGAGAGAGAGAGAGAGAGAAGGGGAAAGAGGGAGAGAGAGAGAGAGAAAAAGAGAGATTTTAATGCAGTATATGTTTTTCTGTATGCAACACATATGAAAGATCTGATTCAATATAGGAATTTCTCTTTACACTTATTTCAAAATTATTAATAAAGTCCCATACTTCTTGAAAAAAATTATTTCTGCATAGTTTTTATTTTTTGTTCCTTAAGTTCCCTATATCATCTTAAAAAAATTTTTTTTATTATAAGTATATTCTAGCCAGACTAGACTACTATATTGTACAGTACTGTAATATTTCTTCGATTAATAAATGTTTATATTTTCGAGAAAAATTCTCTGCGTGTAGGAAGTGTACACTCAGAAATCCACGGATTTTCATCGCGTTCACATTACCAGGATCTTTGATCGCGTATCGAAGTATGAGAGATCAGTCATATGATAAATGAGATTTCGATTCTGAGTATATATGTTTACCTGGCATTTATCCGTTGCATTAGAGATATAAAATCACTTTCTCGTCGCAATCTTCTTGCGAGTTATTCCTATTCGATGAGATCAGAAAGATGATCGCGATTGTGGTCTTACAAAATCAAATACGATACATGTCCTCACGAAATTTACAGTCTCAAATTGCTTTTGCTGAATAAAAGATCTTTTCTTTTTTTTTCTCCTGACAATACTATGTATCGCCGACATTGGTGATCCTCACTTAGTAGCGATGCAATGTTTATTATCACTCAGTGAAGTCGTAACTCTGAGATATGTCAGCTGGAGTATCACGTGTCGCTTTATATTTATTTATACGCGCAAACGCGGCTACTCCGGGTTTGTTTATGAAACTCGATGATGATGATTGATATTCTCGCTCGTTTGTCGATATCAGCAAACAGGACGACTAATCATTCTTCCGCAAATACTGTCTATCATCTCTATCTGGCATGAAACAATAAGTCGTTACTAGAATCGGTTTAAAACGTCTCAAGATGCCCTTAGGGATACATTACACGTTGGGTAATTAATCGTAAGCATATAAAATTAAGGGGGGAAAATACAGTAGCATTTTGTATATTTCAGAATGACTTGATTCCTTTTTGGCGAAATTGCGTTTAGATTCACTTTAAACCGATCCCAGATATTACAGCTATTTCTTAAAAAACGATCTGTATCGATTTACGTTGTGTCACACATTTTACTTTGTGTTCATTAATATTAGTTGCACGAAAAAGGCAGTACGGCCCCATTGAAATTCGCTAAATATTCGTGACGGGAGTGCAGTATATGCGTCACGTCGATAAAATTATCGAGGACGTCAATCAGCAAAGTACCTGGGTGACGGGATTCTCGCCCGGACGATAGACAACGTTGTGCATCGGCCGTTTGCGACCGACGTAATTCACACAGACGAATTCGAGAAGACTCGCGTAGATGAAGCACATGCACACGCCGTCCCACACGTTCATGGCAGTCAAGTTCGAAACGACGGGCAGCGTCCCCCGGAAGCCAGTCGACGTGGTGAAAAAGTTGAGCATCGTTGTTACACCTGGAATACGATCAATACCACGTTTTTTTCGTTATTTTTTAACTTTTTTTTCGTTTTTCTTTTTCATGCACATATGTGTATGAGGAAGGAGGATGTATATATCAATTGTATAGATAGAAATATAGACAGATGAATAGTTAACTGAAGAATGGACATAGATAAATAAAAAGAGAAAAGCAGATGAAAGTGAGAATAATATAATTTGACTATTATACCTGAACTGAATAGACTTGAATAGACCTAACTTCTCCGATTTTAATATATACTTTAGAGTAGAGGAAAAATTTCAAATATGGCTTGCTAATTTTCTTGTATATACCTTAAAATCTTTTAACTTATTGTGAATGAATATATGTGTTATTAAGTAAGTGGAATGTTTATTTCAATAATTGTATAAAGGATGTTTTTAAAACGATTGGATTTTTAGTTATCCAGTAATTAAAAAAAAAAAAAAGAAATTTGCACCGTTTGGAAAAGGAGTCCAAATATAGACTATCTTTGCAATTTTAAAATAACATAGGATTTAAGCTAAAGAAAAACATTTTTTATTTATTATAAATTTATCGACAAATATTGCATACATAATCATTTTACCATTTTATGCTTCTCTATATTAGTAAATCATTGTGCATATGTGTGTGTCCACAATAAATACAGAAAACACTATATTCACAAACAATTTCCTCTTTGTAACATCAGAGAATTTTTTGCCACAAAATAGACTTATATCGTTATTTATTTGAAATTTTCTCTTTCTAAACGGTAAATTTAGATCACTGTCATTATTATATTAGCCCATATTAGAACCATCTATAGTAGCTCATATTCGCAACGTTATAGATGACATGATTGTATTGTTAGCGAATATATTTTCAATTAAATTATAATTATACCTTTCAATACATTCATCCTTATATTGTTTATAAATCATAAGCAATTATATCAATAATGTGATACCTCAATGATACATCAATGATGTGTATTTCTGAATAAAAAGTGATATTTGTACCTCCCTATGCACAACTTTTTAGACTTCAAAAAAGAGAAAATCTTGTACAATTTCTAAACTGGCTCGAAAACAATCGTACAATCAAGTTTCGTTATATGTTACATGTTGGAAAAGATTATTCAAGTGTTTTTCAGTAGAGTGTACAGCACTATACAGAATTAAAATGTTGGTAAACTATATTTAGACATGGCCCATATACAGGGTGTCCCGAACCTTCATGATGACCCTTGGTGAGAACGTAGAACAGATTGAGGTGAGAAAGAAAGTCCTGTGCCGTTTTGCGATATTCGCAATAATAGTCGAGATATTAATTAAAAAAGATTGGTGAATGATCACACGCAATATGGTAGACGAGCTGCAGTGGCGCCGTCTGCCGTTGTATATTTATATATTAAATCAAACTAAACAAAAAAGTCCTTTCTTGCTCACCTCAATCCGTTCTACGTTCTCAGCAGGGGTCATCATGGAGATTCGGGACACCCTGTATAGACTTTCTCCTCTATGTGGGATAGTGAAAATCTCTGAGCGTCCTTGGTACATTAAAAGTCATTTATTGTTTATTAAAAAGTAATTAATAATAATTATTAAAAATCCTTTGCGCCGATCAAATTACCTAAATTTGTTCCAAATAAGTGTATCATGTTTCGATACGAATTAGAAATCCCATTTTTATCTCAATTATAAAAAATTTTCTAAGATCTAATCCGATTTATTCCGATGTCCCAAATAAATCAAGTAGCAATTGTAAGTAGGAAACGCTCATATAGATTCCATTTATTCTGCTTAACATTTTTCTAAAAATTTTTAGTTTTTATTTTATCCCTTCCAATCTGCGATTAATTGTCTCGTTACCACGTCGCGATTTATTTCATCGCTTAAGGGGGGAAATCCAATTAGAACTTTCAAAAAATCGAATTTTTTTTTTTTGCATAAAATGTTTATTTAACATTGTAAGAATATGTTCCCAACGTTTTAAATCGAAATTCGCAGCCGTTCGGAAGTTATGGCCTCCGAGCGCAACAAATCTCTTGAGCAGCGTCGAGGCTCTAATAGCACGCAGCAGGTATACTCACCCGGAGCGGGGATTTTACCTTTCAGGGCTGCGATCCAAAACGTATAGAGATGTAATTATAGTTTTACTGTAGGTTTTGGAACGCACCCCTGGTAGATGGCTTTTATTTCTATTGTTACGTTTAGTCGAAACCGTTGGGTCCGTTGGCGCTGGCATCGAGCAGAACCGGTTTTCAGTTTAGCTCCGAAGTTCGGCCTGTACAAAACGACAGTGCAAATTCGAAATGTCC